CCGGCTTTAAAACCCCCTCAAGAAAGGGAACCCGGAAATCCAATATGGCTTGTCGGGATGCGTTTGCCACGAAGCCGCCGGTGACCAAGCCTACGGGGCTACTCTGGTGCAACAGCATCCGCTGTTTCGGTGGCCTCTCCCTCCCCCCGCTGCCCCCCCGGTACTCCACCAACCGCAGGTTTCTTCCTCGCGTCACGTATTGCTTTTATGATCAGTATTTATTCCTGCTTTTCCGACTTCTTTAATACTCAAATGAGGATCTGTTCCCTACAGCTTGACACAAATTTTAAAGGAAGTCCCACTGTCCCGTTTTGGTTTTTAACCTCACTATTACAAGGCGCTCTACAAAAGCTTGCAAAAAAGCCAGATTTTCATTAAATCCCTTTGCTGAAGTTAACTACTCGACTTTTTTTTTTTTTTCTTTTTTTTTTTTCCTCCTATGATTTAAAACTTTACAAAGAGAGTTATAAAAAAGGTAAATGGGATTTGGCACCTTCAGAAAAAATCAAAAGTGTAACTCAGATCAAAAAAATGCGGAAACAAAATCATTGATATTTACAAATTAAAACGCCAGTGAAGATGTCTTACTACGCTCTTTCACCTTGATTTCTCTTCTAGAGTACTTTCGGACTGTCTGTTACTGAGCATCTTAAAAAATGCACTGATTACAGATTGGAATGGACAGAGACCAAATAGCTTCCTCACAGTTCCTTCTTGGTGGCCAGTACTCCGGCAGCTTTTCCACTCCTAGGAAATACGAGGTGCCGAGCGATCGTTCGTCGTCGTCTTCTTCAGTTTGACGCCGCGCCGAATGGCGTTCAGCATATCCTCACCTTGCGGGGCGTCCCCAGGGCTCAGGTCTCCGGGATCGAGCTCCGGCTGGCCGGCGGGCGTGAGGGTGCCGACCCCATCCCGGTCGCTTTCTTCCCCCTCGCTCTCCGGAACCGCTTGCCTCTGCTCCTCGGCAGCGCTCAGTTTCTGGCTCGAGGCCGGCGGGTTGACAGACGCTTGGCCGCTCCATGCGGAGGAGGGCATGCTGGTGACGCCTTGCCCACCATCTCCTGCCGCCGGAGACTCGGGACTTTGCTCGGGACATTCTTCTGTCCCGGCGAGGGTGCCGGGCAGCCCCCCCGGGATGTCAGGGACGGTTGGTGTTTTGACAGGAATCACGGGCGTCTTGATGGGAATCGGCCCTCCGCCTATGGTGCCGCGTCTGACGGAAGGCTTGGTGGAAGGGGTCCGCCGGATGGTGGCGACGCCGGGGGTGACTATGACCGGTCCGAGCGTGGTGGGCAGACCTGCGGTGGAAGCAGGACGCTTGGTTTGAAACATTCTGCGATAGGACTGGCTAATGTCGCTGTTTCTTGGGATGGTGGAAGATTTGTCAAACTCCTGTTGTTCTGCCTCCTGGTCACCACCCACAGAGAAATAATCATAATCTGAAACTGATGCCAAAAGATAGAGTTAGGAACAAGGTGGAGAGGACAGCTGAGTCACCTCGCGAGGCCTAGGGCACGCAAACCCAAAAAAGTATATATAACCCAAAAAAGCCTGGAGGTCTACAGCAGTTAAGAGAGGTTTCACCTTTAGGAGGAAGGAAGCCTGAAGTACTGCGACCAAGACTCTCAGCCTGCGTGGCTGGAGGCAGGCACTACAGCCGGCCGACCCCAAAGCTGCAGGGTGCAACCCCAAAGCTGCAGGGAGCCCACATCTCTGGTGGAACTGTACACACTCGGTACCTTCTCTGAAAGAACCAATGGAGTAACGAAGACTCAGTGTTTGTTGCCGACACTGATACCCAAATCAGCATCCTACAAGCCATATGCTACCACTTGTAGATACAAATACTTAAAACAGCCAGTGACTAAGAAGTGCACTTCCGACTAGGCAATGAGGGGCTCGGGGACTGTGTACCAGTGATTTCAGCAGCAAGTTTGCTTATTTTGCAAACAAAGTAAATCCCAGCTGTCCGTGCTGAAAACTCAGCCTCGGCTTTAACCACTGCATCAGGTTCCTTCCTTTCCACGGAACTGCTGAGCCAAGCCAGGGCCTCCGCAAGCCCTGCTGCCGCTGGTGACTGCGCAGCACGACCGACCTCAGCTGAGCAAACAGGGCGGATCCTGAACTGCAAACACCACACTCAGTCCCTCTCAGCTGGCTGCTGGTTCTGAAACAGGCTACAACACCCAACACCTTGGTGTACCTTCCCAGGTATGGCCAAGTTAAGGTCTCCAACGGGTTCTTTTTCCAATTATGATAATTTCTGCTCAGACAGGAAATAAAAGGTCACAAAGGGAAACCAAGAACAGATTCAGAGTACTGCTGGAGCAAGAAAGCTAAGCTCATGAGCGCATATTTGCTAGGATGACAGCTCAGAAAGGACACTACTACCACAAGAAGCGTATGATGCGATACCAGCGTCATTCCACTTAACCCATGAAATGTAATTCCAGCATCTTTTAAAACGGTAGCATCCTTAAGCTAAAACTCATTCCAGTAATGCACAAGAAAATAGGATCATTCAGTATACTATGCAGCAATCCAGGTTTCTATTTAGTTAATAAATCCAGGCTGCATTCCAAGCTGGAAAAAGCTTCACCACAGCAATGTTCCCCTTTCTCCCCAGATGAGTACAAAGTCAGTGAGTGACAGCTGCTGGAATACAGCTCCTTGGCATCACAGGTGAGTGCATGATGGCCAGGCTGGGAACGCTCTGAAAAAGCACATCTCTTAGATGGGTACCTTGAGATGGGATCGTGTCCTCTGAACAGCACGGAGTTGTTGTCTGGGTGCTGTAGCCACTGGAGCACTGCAAGGAATCCCGACTGCTCCTCTGGGTGTCCAGCTGCAGCCCTCTCGACAGAGCGAGCGCCAGCTCCTCGCAGGCCTCCATCTCCTCACCCTGCTGCACACACACGGAAAGGAATCATAGAATGGTTTGGGTTGGAAGGGACCTTTAAAAATCATCTAGTTCCAACCCCCTGCCATGGGCAGGGACACCTTCCACTAGACCAGGTTGCTCAAACCCTCGTCCAGCCTGGCCTTGAACACTTCCAGGGATGGGGCATCCACAGCTTCTCTGGGCAACCTGTTGCAGTGCCTCACCACCCTCTCCAGGAAGAATTTCTTCCTGATATCTAATCTAACCCTCCCCACTTTCAATTTAAACCCATTCCCCCTTGTCCTGTCACTACAGGCCCTTGTAAAAAGTCCCCCCCCAGCTTCCTTGTAGCCCCTTCAGGCACTGGAAGGCTGCAATAAGGGCTCCCCAGAGCCTTCTCTTCTCCAGGCTGAACAAGCCCAACTCTCCCAGCCTGTCCCCACAGGAGAGGTGCTCCAGCCCTCTGAGCATCTCTCTGGCCTCTTCTAGACTCGCTCCAACCAGTCTATATCCTTCTGATGTTGAGGGCTCCACAGCTGGACGCAGCACTCCAAGTGGGGTCTCAAGAGACTCTTAACATCTAGAAGGGTTGGCCAGCCTTCACCGACCTTCAGCTGTCCCTCTTCCCAAGCAGAGCTGGTCACCATCACAACCCAACAAGATCGCATCCAACCATTTACCAGGGCTTCCAAGAAACAGATGCCTTTCGACACCGTTGCTCTACCACGACCAACACCCAGTGGCACGTTCTCTCACGCCCACCCGATTTCCACTGACCACACTATCACCCCACCAGTCCTGCTTCCGGCTAAACATGTGCCAACACGCAGCACATCAAAAAAGTGCTGGCGGAGTTGGCACATCCCTTTCTCTGTGCCAAATGACATATTCGAAAACAGAGCTTCACCCTTGTGGCAGCCGACACCGTCATGCTCCGAGGTCTCTGGGCCTCCTCAGTGGGCACGGGTGGTCCGCTCTGAGCTCCTCCACTGAGATCTGGTTCGCGCTTTTCTTTGCGACGTTGCAACGTGTTCACCATTGGTTGATCGTACGGGCCTGGTTTGGCCCAGTCCTAAGGAAATGTGCTTGTTAGTGACAGCTTCTGTCAGCAACTGCGCTTTAATTACAAGTAAAGTTATGCAAAAGGGCAATTTTAATGCAACAGATTACGTCTCAAAATGGATATGCCTTTCTGAATAAGGCTGGAAATTAATTAATCTTGAGGATATTAAAAGTCCTCACTTATAACACCCATCTCCTTTATTACAGGGAATGCAAATTGCCTGTTCTACCTAAGTGTTCTTATATGAAGGTATTTAACATCTTAATACTACAGCTTTCTGTAAACGAAATTCCATTGTGTTAAAGCCTATATTTTCAGAAATTCAAATGCAAAAAATCACCAGCACACAGCAGAAAATATACACAAATGTCCAATCAGCGAGGTAACTGTTCTAGACGTACACGAGTTCTAATATTACGTGCTGTTACGCACGTCTTCAATTCTGAAAAATTAGGCTTGAACAGATTTTTGGAGGAGCAAGTTTTTTGGAGGAGCAAGTTACTCCGCATCAGCGAGGTTAACTGTTCTAGACGTACACGAGTTCTAATATTACGTGCTGTTACGCACAAATTAGGCTTGAACAGATTTTTGGTAGACATTAGAGGAGCAAGTTAATCCAAGTAACCTCTCAGTTTACTTAATAGGTGAAATCTTGTTTATAATAATGATCTGTACTGAAGAAAGACTAACTTCACTCTGAATTACTGGTGACAAATTTGAATCAGAAATTCCTGAGGCAAGGAGGGCTCTATTCACTCAGGGCTCTATTAAGCGAAGTCCTGAGGGTGCCCAGAAACCACACATTGCACACAAAGAACAGGGTTGATCAGTGACCTGTGCTGCAAAGCAGCAGCTCCCCAGATACGAGCTGCTGCAGGGGCAAGCCCGGTCCTCAGAGGGTTTTCCTTCACCAAGGCAAGGGGTGCTTTACAACTAAAAGAAACAACTTGTGCGTGAGAACGGGCCACGTACCCCACCACTGGCGGCAGCCGACTGTGGGGCAGCCTCCACGCAGCCCTCCGATAATTAATTAACGACGGGCTAAGACCACCCCAGATTTTTACGGGCACGTCTCAGTCCGGTGCCCGAGAGGTGTGAGGCAGCTGTGCTGACAGACGCCCTTGTGCCGACAGGTATTTTGGGTTTGTCAGCACACACGGAACTCTGCTTTGCCTCAACAGCCGTGTCCTCGCCGCGAGCGTTTTGCCGTAAAACACGCTGGCAAAGAGCTTCTCACGCAGACACAGCTGGCGATGGCGAAGCCCCGAGAGCGGTGTGGCCACCCTGTGCGTGTCACACCGTCGCCAGGCGCTGGGGAGATTGGGGTGTAACAAGGTATGGCCGTTCATCCCTCGAAGAAGGTCCCACGCCTATGCGGTATCATAAAACCACCCACAGGCATCTAAGGCCTGTGCAGCTACTGTCAGCTGCGTACGGGCCTTGTGAAGACTCGGGGCAACAAACGAGACCTTCTCCCCTTGCTCTGGGGCAGAGTCTCCCAGGAAAATCGCCTGACAGGGATCAGAGTCCAGGCTCTGGAGCGGAGCTGTTCTGATGCCAAGGAAGATCCCTGCAGATCCAGCTGGAGGAACTGGAAGGAGGTACGGCACTCGGGCTTTTGCGTCGGTCTCACCCAAGCGAGCAAAGCAGGGTGAGCACGCTCAGCCTGGGGCAGCCAAGCTGGGGCAGCTTCAGCCAGCCCTTGGCTTCCCCCGGCGACGCAGGCTGCCTTACACCACCCCAGCTCCATCTACGGGAGCGTGCCTGCCTACGGCCAAGGGGGGGGCCAAGCACTGCCGCCGCAGGGAGAGCACCCCGCTGGTCACTGTATGGCTTCACTAAGCTAACCGGGTGTCCAGCCTGCAGTTCCCTGCTCCACTGAGAGCTCTGATGGTGCTGAACAAGCTCTTTTCTCGCTGAATAGAGCCCAGAGCGCTTTCAGCACTGTTCCAGAGTTAAACTGTTCCTTCCTACCTAGGTGCTGTCAGCTTTAACATGTTTTAGGCAGTACCAGAATAGACAAGGTCATTCAGAAATATCCGCCACCAGCTTTTACCTCCCTGATTATCACCATGCAGTGCCCATTCAGAGTGATATTAAACAGAGCAAATCAACAAGCGATTACATGGATCGAAAGGTACAACAACCGCCGTGCGCACACCGTTGGTATGAGGAGGTGAGGACTGCCACAACAAAAGGAACACAAACCTTCCAGCTAGGGATCTTAGATGATGGTAACATGCCTGGCCCAATGGTGTAATAATGAGCGTAGTCTGGAAGGAGGGCTGAGGGAGCCCGAGTCCACGCGCGGGAGACAGGCGGGAAATGAGGGAAAGGACCTGCACCAACTGAAGCTACGGATGGGTCACTTGATAAACTACAGTGATAAAACCCATTAGACAACTGGAAACGAAACAAATAAACAAACAAAAACAGAGAAATTAATATAAACAGAATGAATATGAAAATATACTGCGACTCTCGATGTTCTAGGGAGAAAACTTCTGTATCTTAAAACAAAAGAAAGAAAAATCTTAGCTTTGCTGCAAATACACAACAGAAAATTGATACAATGCTTGGTTCAGAAGCAAGAATGCTTGAAAGTTGTTATTTGGCATAACAAATTTCAGGCATCGGTCTAGCAGTCATTGTCTCCGGGCTGAGCAGCTCTGCCTTCTGTCCATGAAAGCGGCACACGGCGAAAAAGCCTTTGCAATTTAGGTACCGTGCAGACTGCGGACATAGAAACAAAACGTTCCCAACACTGGAGGCTTTGGCATTGGTGGCGTTTATTCTGTGGAGCTGGACAGACAGGAACAGCATACAGCCTTCCAACATGACACATTCTGGCTGTGTGATGATATGGAAGAAAATAAAAGGGGAAAACCAACAGCAAGGATTTACCAGATGAGAATGGAGACCGCTATCACTTCCCCCCTGGTTCAGAGTCTATCCCCCGTAATTTATTCCAACCACGTGTGCTTTGTTTCCCTTTTTGTTTTGGTCAAACCAACCCTCAATTTCTCAGTGTAATGCGTGTTACCTAATGGAAGAAGGGGGAGAAGCCACAAACAGCACAGCCTGGGCAAGATGCTCTTTGTTAGGCAACCAGCTGGGTTTGGGCAGCCTTCCACAATCTCTTCGAGTAGAAAAGGTGGACAACGAGCTTTTCTTAGAAAATTACCTCTGTAAAATGCCCAGTTTGTAGCTTCCCCTGCCAGATAGTTTAAAGGCAAGTGTCACTGTGGTTTATTCACAGATTTATTACTTAGGGAGTGTGCAACAGTTCCTATTCTCATCTTCACAGAGAGGAATCCTGGCTGCATCCCATGCATGGTTTTTTTTTTGTCCAAATGTTGCTGGGTTTGGATAACGAGCTAGTAGGTTTGTATGTCTTTGAGATGAAGTTTTTCACCTTATCTGTGGAGGCCCAAGCCCCCATGGTGGAGCCTGAGCTGACTGAGGTGGGGGAACTGCACTCGCTCACTGACTGGCAGGTTTCAGAGGCTTCTGAAGAGGCAGAGCTGGACGAATTCTGCAGCGTGAAACAGCACCGCAACGCAGGGAAAGGATACACAAGCCACCAAAAAAGAAAAAAACCCACACACAAACAAACAAAAAAAGACAAAAAGCACATACACAGAGACATACACAGGAGAGAGGGAAGGATGAGAGAAGCAAAGGGTTAGGGTTTTAAAAATCAATTAGAAACTGCTCAAAACCATTGCTAATGTTCAGGAAATCTATGAGAAACAAAGTAAGCCATTTGCTTAATGCGAGAACTTGCCACGCTGCTTGAGAATGAGGGAATCGAGGCAGTGTTCTCAACTCCTCATTGCAATTCCAGCGTCCCAATTCTGTTAGCTGCCTCAGAGCAAGAAGCTGAGGGAGCTGAGGGCACCTACAGTCCAAACATGCAATATACTGAGACAACCCATTTATACAGAAAAGCAGATCATCAGTACTTCAAAGACACAAAGTTTAGATTTAAAACAGGGAGCAGCAAACGTCACTTACATTCACAAGTTCTGGGATATTCTGATCTGCAAAAGTGCTTGTGAAAAGCTCATCTGCCTTCAAATATTACGGAACAGAGAAAGAAGTGCTACTTACCAAAGCTGGAGGTTTCCACAGTGCATTATCTGTATGCATGTGCCTCTGCAGGTAGTAGTATGCATACACCAAAAGCACTCTGACACCAACTTTTCTGCCCAGCAGCCAATGTGAAGGTACATGTACTCTGCTGAGTGCGTAAGTGGTGGCATGTGCTCGCCACCTGCTTTCTCTTAACAGCAGAGAGAGAAGACATCAGGGGCTTGGAGCGAAGGAAAATGCAGGACACAGTGTCTATCAAACACCTCACACATTTTGCTCCTAGCTAGGAACTTCCAACTTTAATGCGTGCCTTTACGTACATTTGCTGTTGTAAGACCTTTACATCTAATTCACCTACAGGCAGGCCAAGGTGAATAACGTGGACCATTTTACCAACTACAATGTTCTTCTACATCTCCCCCTTGAGAGTGGCATCCCCCTCCAACCGAGTGCTTGGAGATGGTCAGGAATGCTGGCAATGTTGTTGGTGCAGTACTGAGTTCTATTCAATGTCAGGAAATTCAGCACTGGCAAGACTAGTTCATCCTTGCTCATCCAAGACCTGTGAAGCAAGTCTATCTAAGGATATCCCCAACATTTTATTTTATGACAGCAGAAAGAACGTGCGCTTGTATCAAGTTTGTATAGCAAAGCCTTAGATTTCAAGGATTTCAAAATTCCATCAGTTAACCTTCGGTGAGATCTTGGGGTGAGTTTGCAATAAAAAGGCAGCTGGATAAGAGGCAGTGTAGAGGAGAAATTACTGCTAACACCTCTAGTTGTCTCACTGCTCACCAGAAACTACATATAAGGAATGTATAGTTAATTCCCTAGGGAAAAGGAGATGCCTGTCTCCTGAGATGAAACACCACCACCACAAGGATTTTGGTGAAGACTACTGGGGCTGTTGAGAAGCCAATAGAGTATCAGCATCTTCAGCGTATCAGCAAACTGTGGATTTCAGTGAAACTTTGCAAAGGCTGTTAAAAAAATGACAAAAAGCCTGTCATTTTATAGAAATAAGGCATATCCCATCATATGCTGACGTGAGATCAGATCTGCGGGTGACCTGTCAAATGTATTTAGGGTACAAGTAGGCTCAGCTAACAAGGCTTGTGTTCAAAGTGCAGAGTTGAGGTGAACGTGAGATGGGAAGAAACCACAACAAATGACATGTAGCAGTTAAGGAGAGAAAAGTACGCAGTGGGCTACCCGATGATTCAGTGGCTTGATGTTTCGTAGAACTTGTCATGTTCTTGATTTAATGTAACTCTTTCACAGGAGAAAAACCTCTTAAGAGTACAGACAAACATGAGCTGCACTTGACTCTGCCATCAAACATAACTACAGCACACTAAATGGAGAGGAGCCTATTTCTTCTCTCCTTAGAGAAAAGTATCTTACAGAAAATTAGCTTTTACACTAAAACTCCAGAGTTCCCTCTGACATTCCACACAGCTCAGCAAAAGACACTGTGTGAGCGGCCCCATGAGAACACTCACACTAGTCCTACCACTTAGTCTAGGGAAGAAATGAAAAAAAAGAAAAAAAACCCCACAATTTCAGAAAATGCTTTCTGAAACCTCCTGCTTATGGCCTGAAAGACCCTCCTGGGTCCGCACGCTCTGCACACAGCAGGACAGACAGTGACGGGTCTGAGTTCCAAATATGGTATCAGGCCACCGTGTTTTCTGCAGATGCCCCAGCGATGAGAAGTGAGAATTTGGCATTTACATCTGACAGGCTATTCCTCTTTACAAGACAGAAATGAGATCATGTCAAGTAATGGCAGAAATGGGTCATAAATGAGGTCTATTAGCAACAAAGCTGCACGGAGCACATAGAAAAAGGCCAAAAAAGCAAATTCTGAAGATGTAAATTATTCCATCTACTTGGTGTATAGGGAAAAAAAGGCTGGAAGTGGTGAACTTATTTTTGGAATAAAGTGACTCCAAGGTGAAAAAAAAGAAGAAATGGTAACTCAGCGTGGCCATTTTCAGCAGGCAAAGCTAGACAAAGGATGAACTAAGATGGGGAAAACACCTTGGTAGGTGAAGGAAATGCAAGAGATGGTGGTAGGGAAACAGGGTCTCCTTGTCTTGAGACGTGCATGGCACAGGGAAGGGGAGCCTCTGCTCTTGCTACAAAAGGATTACAACAGTGAGGAGGATGGAGAGGGAGGCAGAAGAATACTGAACTCCTGCAGGAAAAGTGTTAAGAAAACGCGAGTGGCAGCAGGTCAAAGGCTGCCTGGATCAACCAGCAGAAAGTGTTGGATGGCTGGAGTCAGGAATGGGAAGCACAGACCACCATTTCTTAGCAGAAAGTACACGAGGGGCTGAAAATAGAAACTGCACAGTGACTGCTTGGGCAAAAAGTCTCCAAACTTGTGAGTGCTCATTCTAGACGGACATCCACTGGCACACGCACTCCTGGAGCACACGCATGGGCAAAGGCTGGGCAGAGCAGTTTCTACCCCTCATCCCATGGGGTGAGAAGTTTGACTATGGAATTTTTTTCAACTTATTTTAGTAACTTCCTTTTTAAATTGATTGCTTAGTTTGAGTCATTTTTAAAATTAGTTCTTTCATTTTGGCTATTTTAACCCTGGGAGATTTCTTTTTTTCCCCACAGCTGCGATAATGGTGGTTCTGCTCTGCTCTCAAACCCTTTCTTCTAGAAAAAGCTTAAGTTAACAGTATCAGCAGAAAGCTAAAACTGTGCTCTGTACAGTAACCACCAGCTCCTCAGATGTGTGCTCTACATATGTACCTTGGTATCTGATCTCTCAGATGCTGTGCCATGGCTTGTTCTTGGATAGTGTCCCGCTGCTTGGTGTGGTATGTATGAATTCCAGCAAGGATATATATATATATAAAAAGCTGTATTTTGGGCTACTGGGAAGTATGTTTTCATTTTCCATCCCCTGTCCTACTAACCTATAAAAGGACCATAGTTATTTTGGATTACTTGCATCCTTTGTTTGCTATGTTTTCCATTCAAATATAGCATTCCTTTCTTAACCTCTTCTCTTCATCAACTACTAGACAGAGAGCTTCCTGGGCAAGGGTTTCCTAGGAGAACAAATCCTAATGAAGAGTTTGGTCCAACGTCTCTCCACAATCAGTGGAAGATGTCCCAGTCACCTTTCAAAAAGCTTTGGATTGTGCCTCAAGGTCACCTCCTCAATTTGTCTCCCTCCCTGGAACATGTCTCTACTGACCCCTCTTTTCTAGCCAGCGACAAACTTTTGGAAAACTATTTAAAAAAGGAAGTTTAGGAGAAACAAATACCTGGTGATAATTTCCAGATGCATTGCAGTTATGGTTTTGTTTTTTGTTTAATGTGTGATTTGGCAGCATTTTGTAACTTACATGGAAAACTGAACAGTTGTAACAATATATTTCCCTTAATCTGATTTCAAGCTATTTCAAGCAATGGAGTCTCCTTAAAAGCAAAATCTTTCCATCTTGCTGATCTGTACATGCAGAAGCAAGTTCACATTCAGTTTCCCTCTACTTCACCGTTTAGGGAAAGCGATTTCCAGAATATTGTAACAATAAAGACTTAGTCCTCTGCTGTCTGACAGCACATAAACAGTGTTTTTCTCTTCTTCATCTACTTCTTTCTCTTCCCTTGCTTTCATCCCCACAAACTCATAAGCAGCCTCTAAAACCCAACTGTATAATTGCTTTCCATGTGCATGTCCACTCCAAGTCCAGCGGATCCTTCTATTATTATCCCCCTCAATCAAACATAACCGTATTCCTACCATTTTACTTTATCACAGATATGCCCAGACCTCAGTTTGTCTACTACAAAGGGCAACATGTGGGCTTAGCAGCACCAGCCATGTGCAGCGTCCATCCAAGAGCGACTCTGTGCTCCCAGCAGGAGGTTTGTCAGAAGGACTCTACATGGCCGTGGGCAACACTGGCCACGGCTGACCTCAAATCTGGCATTTAGAGGAACAGTTCCGCTCCAGAAACAGACCTGTGGTGCTTTTCCAACTGTCCAGCTATACTCAAATGCACTTGCTGAATTAAAGCGTTTTAGTGACCTTTCCACATGTACGAATATCTGTTACGGCCTAACGCTTTCACTCCCAGTGATGTTAACAGCAACGCTGCAGGAAAGCTATTGTGCTAAACCAGCGTAAGGGCAGAGTCTGTTTTTATAATTGCTCTTTTCCCCGTCTCCTATGCAGAGTGTGATAGCTGTAAAGACTTACTGCTCAGCCACTATAGGCTGAAAAGCAGTCTTCATTTTGCCAGCCATCTCTTCTCTGGTATAGTCTGTTATCTTGTTTAAATCTCTACTTATTCCTTATTTGACATTTTTTTCCCCCATAGGTGATTTTGAATAAATTCAGTTTAATTTTCAGTGACACCTGCTTGTCTAAAATGTAGGTGAGAGCATAAAAGCTTCACATAGCTTACATATTCTCATTCCCATAAGAGGGGAATTTTGTGTAGTCCCCCTTCTTTTTAAATTCTCTATTAAGAGAAAATGGACTTTATTGCCTTCAAAACTACAGCTGCCAGCAGATGCCACAGCATGCAGCCAGCAAACATCAGCAAAGTGTCCACCTGCACAAGATGCATAGCTTTTAATTTCCTTTGTTGATTCCAGAGCTTGCTTTTCTGCTGTCTCAGTGTCACTACCAGAAACAATGACATCAGTGTTTTAGAAACAGTCAGCAGCCGGTGTCGCTGCTCCTCCCCACCCACCACCGAGCCTCAAAAGCACAATACCACAAGGAAGATCTGTCAGTTGGTTAGAGACACACAACATGAAATAACGCTCCAAATCGAACAGCTTCTCAGTAAGCTCACGATCACGATTATCTGTCAGCACAACACACACACTTTTACTTAGTGCTGAACATACAAAGCAAGACACTTAAGCAAAGATGAAGCGGCCAGGCAATGATCTGTTACCTTTTCCTTTGCGTAAAGGTACACAGAAGTAGAGACATACAGAGCACATACCTATTTGTTATACCAACACACTACACTTGTCAACGCCACACTGCTGCAGCCTTCTACAGCTCATGAATAGCTCAAGTGATGCTTGGATCAGTTTGCAACCTTATGGACAGTTTCTAAAGTGAAGTGAAAGCATTTGAACTTAGCTCGTGTCAGTCAGCCTGATGCCCATCAGCTTTCCAGGATGTTCTGCCTGCTGATCCCAGCCTAAGTTCTCTCCCCTGCTGAGCAGAGGAGCTTGCAAAGAGAGGTGTTGGGTTTTGTCCATGCTAAGGGCAATTGCAAAGTTACATCCTCATCAGCAAACACAGCATCATCATGTAGATTACCACCCTTTTATGCAGGTGCAGCGGATACTATAAAAACCAAAGATGATGCTAGCATGTATGACTGATGCACGTATCTTAAAAGTCAACTTCCTTACCTTGGTACTATTCCAGTTTACTTTATTATTGCTCATTTACTTTTTTTGCATTTCACTTAGGTTAGCCATAGCCAATCTAAACAGAACATTCATTTTATTAGTGTGCACAAAGTTCTTCAGGATGTCATCTATAAAAAAATGCTGATGTGTCCAGACTGGGGACAGTGCAGAAGATGTATTCATTTGAAAAGAAAGCATTTCTATTAAAATGAAAGAGGTAAATATATTAATAAACTGTTGAGCTTCCCTCGAGAACATGTTCCAAGCCTCAATGAACTGGTGTTGGTTTGGATGATACCCTAAAAACTTCAGTAAGGGTGCTACTGACTAAATGTGCCACAAAAAGTAGGGGTCTGCGTGCTGTCAAAGGCGGCCTAGGAGTAGCTCAAGTGCACAGGTGACACTTGGCAACCGCTAACACCGAAATTGTCCTCTGCTTCCTGGCTGTGAGGATTAAAACCATCTACTCCCCAGCCATGCCTACAAAACCACCTACTCCCCAACACATGAAAAGGAGTGCAACTCCATTTATTAAACTAAATGATAATTTTCTCCAGTGACCTCAGGTGTAGTAAAAACGAGTGATACTCAACGTCAGGATGTTAGGTTCGCTTTGGCTTGTAACAAAGACTTACAACGGGATTTATACTTTGAGATGGCAGTCCAGCCTTGTTTAAAAAATGTTGCAGTTGCTGTATGACTTGTTAAAAAAAACCCAAAACAGAAAATAGAATTCAGATGCTGGAAGATACATGCCATGGAGGCATGCAAACCTCTGCCTGCAGGTGGCCAGCTAGTTTTTCTAGGAATGATGCCATGAACAAATAGAGCAGTAACTTCCTTCTGCAGACCAAAAATGCTCTGGAAAAACTTTGCTTATATTTATAGCAAAATCCTTTTAGTTTGACTGGGTTTAGAATATTATATATGACTACACAAACTACTCATTTCTTACAAGTTCCATAAGGAATTAAAAATACCTCTTGTTTTTATGCAGAAACCTTATTTCTGCAAGGTGCTCGATTGAGAATCAAAAAGAGCAAGCCTATCCACAGAAAGGGATGTCATAAAAAATGGCAAAATCAAATTCATATGATACTGCTAATGGCATTTTGAATATTCCAGGCCCATAGCAAGGAAGGAATAAAAGTCATCTCTTCACCAGTATCAATACAAAGGCTTTCAGAAGGCTGTTCTGGCACCAGTATTTGTCCATTAAACAGTAAACAGCCACCAGATACTTGCCATCTGTGCACGACACTAACTGGTAACCTCAGTGGGTTAAGTGAGTATTATTCCTTCCTGTAAGGTGGGACTTCTTGCTCTTTCTTGCCTTTAAGTATCTGAAAGTTAGGCATCTAGGCTCCCTCCAGGGCCAGAGGGAAAGCCAAATCCCCTGAGAGAGACTAGTCCCGTTCTCCAGTGCTAACTGCAAAAGCAGCATAAACCACTCCAGCTAGAGGCCCAACTTTTAGATGGATGAAGTGCAGTGAGACAAACCTTACCCTCAGTGTTTAACCTGACTCCAAGGTACCCCAAAACCACACCAGAACCTTTATGTGAAAGGTGAGCCAAGCTAAGAGTTCAGCTCACGCTCAGGTTTTAGTTCTCATGCTTGCACGTACCTGGTTAGGTGCTTCTGGTGGCATGGGGGATGGCGATTTGGACTGGAAAGCATCCTGGGACATGAATCCAGAATCATGGGAGGACACACTGGACAGCCTCATGGGTGCCTGCTGAGGCAGATTGGAGCTGCGATAGCGATAGTGTGAACTAGGTGAGTGCGAGTGCGAGCCACTGGACCGGGAATCACTACTGTTAACGCTGTTCAGACTGCTGTGAGAGACAAAAGGAACAAAGAAAGGAAAGGGGAGAGGAAAAGACACAAGGGCGGGGTGGGGAGAGACCCATATACAGTACAATTAACATTCCACATGTCTCTAGCAGCAGGCAGCATAAACCGGAAAAGAAAAAATGTTGACAAATTAAATTTAAATATCTATATATATGCACATATATATCAGTAAAGAACTCTAAGCAGCTGCAGTATCCCTTGCGACCAGAGAGAAAATGGCATTTTACCTTGAATTTCACTCAAATGATCAAATTCCGTAATCACCCAGATGGTTCAAAGGGACAAAGGGATCGCTACATGCCCTCTCTAGCATTTGCTCAGCACTTGCACAGAGAACGTCTGCTGATGGCTCTCTCCTATTCCTGATTTACACCTTGTTGCTCTTGCACCGTGGCCCAAATTTCCAATGCATTCTCTAGCAGGGGGTCCTCTGGCATCACAGTTCATCTCAAAGTCTGCCTCCAGGCATGCTGTTGCAGTCAGTTAACAGGCCAACGTGTGAGGCTTTTGAAAGCACCACCAAAACCCTGTGTTTCAGAGCACCTGGGACAAGTTTCCCTCACGTGAAGGCTTTCTACCAGGAAAAATGTGACAGCATACTGAGTGAAGTCAAGCTGCTGGGTATGTAGCCTTAGTAAGAAGGATGGTCAGAGAATTAAATATCCCAGACAAATCCATTAAAAAAAAATACTCATTTTTCAAACAAAGACACTGATTTTAACCTCCAGTATCCTTGAATGACAGCAACAACATGCCAGCCACAACATGGGAGCCTTTGAAGTTTCCTGCTGGGGTGGCTGAGCAGGACTAGCAGGATGCATCAAACCAAAGGCAGCTTCCTACCATCTTGGCAGGAGCCCACTGACTAGCTGAAGGGATGGCTCTAAAGGATACCTGGCTGAGAACCGCACCTCCTGCTCACGAATTCCAGGCAACACACAAGATATACAAGTTGGCTTGGAGCAGAGGAAGAAGAGCTCTGCCTTATTTTACCCATACAACATAGTCTGTTGCCATTCAGGTTTTACCAGACAAAAATATGAGGTTGATTAGGAACAGATGATGGATTTTGGGTTTGGGTGTTTTTTTGCCATTTTCTTTTACAGCTTCAGGATATTGCATCTTTAAGCCTGTGCTCATTGCTCTAAATATGCATATTTTCACACATATATATAAAAGTTCTGAATTTTTTTTATATATATCAGCATGCAGAGACAAGTAGGTACATAGAAGAAGTCATGTTCACTTGCTCTGACATGCTATAGGTAACTTTGCTCATACACAGGGAACCTGTAGTACATTATTCATAAAGCAAACTAAAAGGTAATCATTCGAGAGCAGCTAGAAAGGTGTTGAGCAGAATACACAGTAGGGTATCTTCCTTTTCAGTAAAAGGAAAGAGTAAATGTAGACACCAGGGTATGGGGGCAACATGCTAATAAACTGTTTTATGAGAGAAAACAGTTTTTACGGAGAAAGCATAGACAGAATCCAGTGTTTCAACATATTTCAGGACAGCATTAGACAGCATTAAACAGTCAAAAAACCTGTATCAAAAAAGCATTTCCATCTACCAAACTGATAAGGCAATTGCCAAGAATGTTTTTCCTTTTCAAACAGTTTAACTTACTGATTAGTAACAGCTACTTAGAATAATCCAAAAAAATCATCACATGAAAAACAGAAAAGGAAATTATGAATGAACAATCTCAGAGCTTAGATCAGTACAGTCTGCTCTTTGATCTGATGTCGGTTCAGGAGAACTCAATCAAAAGCATCTCCAAGTTGTCTTGAGTTCCAAAGTTGTTCAGTCATGCCCATCCTTTTTAATATTCTCAGTCACACACTTGAACGGATAAAGACCACGAGGGACTGATTTCATTAAGAGTTGTTATCTAAGTATGCATACAAATCTATACCAGTCTGAATTTGCCTCCCTTTGCCCCCAAACAGGTTAAAATTAAGTATTACCAGCCTACTTACCTGCAAACACTAGATTTTCTGGACATGGTAGTACTGGGAGAGGATGGAGGAGTCTGATAAGACCAGCTGTAATCAGAACCTTTCAAATCTAAAATTACCTGATGAAAGATAATCAATAGCATCAAGGACGTGGAAATTTTTTTCCCTTATTAATAGAAAGCATCTGCTTGTCATACAACATCTGTCACCACTACAAACTTTCAGTGCCAATTGACCCAGTCCCAGTTCTCTTCCAGAATTATGCTGTACATATTACACAGGACAGTCAGCTTCAACCTTGGCCTCCCAGGAACTACCACATTAGGGCTGCTATCACAGAAGGAAAGTTCACATTTAAATGGAAAAAAATCTTTAAAGAGTAAACTGGAGATTTATTTTATGCATGCTGTGAGCTGGTTTATTTTGGGGTTTTTTTTCTTTAAAACCCCCAAATCTATTACAGCCTTAGAGTTTAAAAACTGTTGCATTTAAAAAAATTAATCGAAACTCCAATATTCAACCACAGCAGAGCTTCCCTCATTTACATTTCTAGGCCAACAATAAGGGGATTAAGGTACAACAAGAAAACTGAGTTCACGCAGCAGGGTTGGAGAAAAGGTCCTATTTGGAGTCATTTACTGAGACACGTTTTCCTATGCATTTTAAGGACAACATGGAAAAATGCTCAAATGTTAGACTGCATCAAGCTATCTAATCCCAGCAATCTGTTGACTACATAAAGACAGGGATGCTCAAATGTAGGGCGAGGGGATGACATTCATTCCTCATGTAGTCTCAGCAGAATTTGGACATCTTCATATACTTCAAGGTGTTACTGCTACCGCTTCAACATTGGTCTCACCAAATACTCCAGGAGTATTCAGTTAGTATTTATTTATTTTTTTTAAAAATTGCTTATGTTAAAAATGACGTTGCTGCAGTGAAGCATCTACAAAACATAACCGCATGCCACTAAATGCTAGTAGTCAATATGCCTCATAGCACAACAGGAAAACCAGTACCAAGTGCAAATAAAAATATTTTTCAGGTAACAAGAGCTAACCTGTTCACTTGAAGATGGCAATTTGTGTGGATCCATGGTGAGACTTTTCAGGTCATCTGATATGGTTTGTAAGTGGGTTATTTCTCCTAGCATTGATATTTCTTCTTCCTGAAAAGACAAAAGAGCAAGGCTAATCTCAGCCTTGGCTTTTAAAATCAGACCCGTAACACAATACATGACCTTTTTCTTTTTGCTGCTGAACGTGGGAATGCCCAGCAGAGCTGCTTTTTCTCTGCCCACTAAGCAATCACTTCTTATGAAAAGAGGGTTAAAAAAAAATTGTTTTATAACTATTTTAAGATTGCTGCCATTTCTGAGACCCAGAAATCTTTTCTCTCACCAATGAGATAAATAGGCCTCAGCCTTCTTTTTGTGACATCCTCAGAGAGAGAGTTTAATTTTTGCTATATTTGGAAAAGACTTAACTCTCTTCTATGTATAATCACTAATGTGCCCTAAGGATTTTAACCATGAATGTAAACAGGGGTCAAACTCATACTTCTTGGTACTGTTTGGAAACTTTGAGATAAATGCACTATGCAGGTACAGAGCATTAATACATCTAAGATTCATTCTGGCTCAAGCTACATGGACAGGTAACTCAGACGATTCCTGCACCGTAAATTACCACAGTAATCCCTTAGCTACCATGGTAATTTCATCCAGGTCCTGAGCGTCTGGAATTCACCTCCTCCTGCTCAGCCATCACCTCTCTGCTTCTCTAACCATGGTTTCTTGTTGAGATTGATGCTCTTTGTAAACAAGCATAGGGAACATTTTCCCAATACGCTGGAGACCCTTCAGCAATGCATCGTGCTTGCACAAAGCCAGAAACGACTCATCGCCGGGCTTCAGACAACCTGAGATGATGAAAATATACTCAAACCTTTTGAATGAACCGAAAAAGCTGTCATGTAGGAGGAAAAAAGCTGCCAGAAAACTGCATGGTAGCAGCCTGCAATCTGTCAGATAATGTCATTATATACACAGGGGAGGTCTTGAAACATTTATCAGTGCTAGCACTGGAGTAGGAGTAAGGAAGATTTATATTAAAATGTAATGTTAAGAAAAAAAGCAGTGGAAAAAACTGCATTAGCAATGTCTCATGTTGGTATGGATAGGGAACTCAAGCCCACTGAAGTCTTTTGTGTCCATTGTTTCCCCATCAGTCATCCTGAAAGAATTCTGTGTCTTCAGTGCTAAATTACTCCAAATGCCTACAGGAAAGGTCCCAACTCTTGCCCCTTCCTAGGCAGAGATGCAGGTTGAATTTTGGCCCTAGGAATACAATCCTAAGACATAACGAGCTACTTTTTTTAGAGGCTTTTGGCCACTTATCTAATTTGTCAAGTGTACCAAGTTAAACCAGAGAGCTCTTACTATCACGGGCCGCAGCATCGAGATGAAAGTACAGAATCGACCGCGCTCCTCGATCAGAGCTTTTCTGACAGCTTGCTTCTCGGTTTCTTCAAGCAGCAGGTACTTATCATTGACATCTTGTAAAGCGCTATCCAACTGGGGCTGAATGTCACCCCGTCCTGTATGCAGGAAACAATCAAGAGTACATTTTGTCAAAACTGTGGAACTCCATAGAGGAAGACCTTATTTTCCACCAGCACTGCTGCCGGATTGTGCCTTTGCAATTCAAGACCCATTTATTCCCTTCACTCAAAACAATAAGGGCTTTTCCCCCAGTTAAATTAAGGATTTCGTTGCATTTATTTTTTCCCTTTTTTGCCGAGAACAGAAATCAAGCTCAATTCAACAATCCCAAGACAGCGTTTCACCTAAGGACTCTCTCAACATGTTAGCTGTAGGAACCCTTCACATCATCCCTGCTGAAAATCAACATCTTGCTAACTGGGAGTGTATTAATCACTAACCCCAAGTGTATTCCTCTTCCTTCCCACTTTTGTGCTTAGCAAGGTCCTAATGACAACACTGTGGAGTCACTAAATGAGTGATGAATCTCCTGTATGAAATGGTATTAAGGACATGTTACCTGGATTGAACCACTGGATTCAAGTACGCTACACAAACAACTACAAAAACAGTTTTCTTTGTTCCAAAAGAAAAAAAAAAGCTATCAACATCTCAAATACATATCGTTTTCCAGTATTCGACTACAGAAATCAAAAAAACTCCAATGTTTTGCAATCAAAAAGCTTCACTGTGTTAATTATAGTCAACTCATAACACCAAAACTTTCTGTGACAGTGAAGTATTTTATTTTGCACCAACTGCTTACTCTGCATCATGCCAAAAATTTATTCCTCTAGGAATGGAGAGCGGCTGTTTAGTCACAGTATTACTGAGTTAACAGTGTTGCAGTTGCAAGATGGTTTCATGCAGTTTACACCTCTGAATATCCTAAAGAACCTCAGTTGTGTAAATTTGTCCCTAATCTCCCAGAAACACATGCAAACTAAGTACCCAGGTACATACTCATGCCACTGTGGCTAAATACCAGAAAATAACACTGAAAAACGGTGGGTGAGTTACAAGCATCTATGCAAAATCAATTTTTATGGACAAAACCAAGGTTTTGCTACAAGCAAGAGGAAGAAAGAAGTCTTCTGATGTGTGCAGTATACAGTGCAGATGAATCAAGGTCAGAGTTACAAAGGAAAACCTTTGCTTTATTATCGTATGCATTTCTTCAACACTCCAGAGCGAGGTGGCCATCAGCTCCCCTGCACCAATACACAGCCAGAGCCGCAGGAAAGAGCGCAGTGATGGAAGCAAAGAGAATCATGCTGGCTTAGTGGCATTACAGACTGGATATATCCAAATCCCCTCTGTATGGTTAGACGTAGTCCAGACAAAACCGCACAGATACCCACAAGCAGAGCTCTGCCACGGACCCTCCAAGAATGACGTGCAGTGCAACACCGGCACGGCCACCTCCAAGGCCACCCGCGTATCAAACCACAAGCAGGAACACCCAGTGACCAATCCTTGTAGACCAGGCTGACCGGTGTAATGTGGTCATACAGCTGTTTTGGAAGTAAATCACTTGAACAACAACAGACTCTGAAGTCGCAGTCACCTGCTTCCTCTCTCAAAATTAGCATCTTCCAGAAACAATTTACAGAAGTGTTTTGGATAACTCCCTGAAGGTCCTGTGCCTTGTCGTCTGTCATGCTTTGGAGACAAAGCAGGCCCTTCTCCCTGAAGACCATTCTGTACATTTTAGGCCCTTACCCATCCTCTTCTTTGCTATCAGATACAGTGATTAAACATTTTATACCTCTCCGGAGTTGTTCTTTCAAATTCCTTATGAAACTGAGAGTTGCATTACTGCTCAGACCCCTTTGAGGGGGAAAATTACAGCAGGTAAAATAACCTCCTGTTGGTCAAGCCTAGATACTGGCTCACTACTGTGGATGCACCAAATGTAAAATATATTAGTTGCAAACTAAATCACACTCTAATTAGTTCAGCTCTGGAGAACTGCTGTAGATGTTCAGCTGTTCCACCATATGATCATGCACTTAACACAGTAAATCCTTGTTAGCGCATCCACCTACACAGTGAGAAGACACACAATTCAAAAGCAACTGGACTCCATTGATAAAAGTGGGCTCAATTATAGCCAATTTTGGTAATTTACCTGGACCTCACAGAGCACCACATCTTAGACAAGAACGAGAGCATCCAAAACATGGGGCAAAAATAAACCTCACTTACATCTGTGTAACTCAATTCAACAAAGTTATCAGGATAATGATCAGGCTGTGTATTTTAACCCTTAGGCAAAAGCACATGCAAAACTGCATCGCCCTCCAACGTCCTCTGTACCTCTAAAACATTTCCGTTTTATTCCTTCAAGTGAGCGAGTGAGGAGATTAACAGATACAGCATCTCCTCAGCGGTGCTTTCACAGACCTGGTTTTATGCTACAGCTCTTGGGCACCTCTGTAGTCAGTGAAAACACACAAGCTGTCCAGGGTATAATTCAGAGCAGGAAACAAGCTTGGGTGAATCATTTGGATGAGGCTCTGCAGTCACATGTTTAGATGACATGAATACAGCGCTCTACTGATGTCTCCTTGCAACCCATCTTTTAGGAGCAGGAAAGCTTTATTAACATCCTTTGAAAGCTCTATAATGCAGACATCAATCTAGCAAGCCTTCTGAAATCAGGCATAACTTCCCACTCCCTGAATTGCCAGCTGCCTCCTATGGCACTGAGACAGCTTGGGAATTAGAGGGACGAGATCTCTGCTCAATTTAACCACTCTCCTTCGCTAAGCAGTGCAGAGCACAGCCGCTCCACAGCACTCCTACACCCAGAGGGCACCGAGGATGTGAGGGCCAAGTGCTGACCACCTCTGCGCCTCACCCATTTTGGGTCTCTGCTAGTTTGAATCCACTACTTATCTTAAAAGGGAACATCGACCACTGGAGAACAATGCACCTCTTTTCCCTTTTGAATTACGAGGGGAAGGTCACTTGTCTACGACATCCCTGACAACCGCTTGCACTATTTTTGCTTTGGGCATGAGGCACACTCTCATAAGGAACATCAGCAACTGATTATTGTTTCCAGCCAACATTCTCCAGCCTTTAGGTTACCCATTCGGAAACATTTCTGAACCAACACAACTGTCGTAGTGACAGAAAATAGTTCCAGTACAGTCTCATCATGGAGCAGCTATAAAGGTGCCCCTGGAAGGACACTCCTACCCCAGCTGCAGAGAGGTCTGAAGGACCCATCAAACCAATCAGCATTAGCAATGGTCAAAGCACCAAATGTAGTCCCAGGTCCCTGGTCTGTAACCAGCCAGACATGAACATGAACATGACGTAGGGATGGTTCTGCGGAGCCCATCCAGTTGTACTTGGAAGAACGAGCCAGCAACCTGAAAACTGAGGAGAAATTCAAACCCAGCCTTTCTGAACGTGGAGCGCTGGTGCTGCAGAGAGGAGCAGAAATGCAAGACCAGAAGTTGCAGACTGACTTCTCCAAAAGCACCATGCTCCAACAGCCCAGGGACTTGCAGCTTGACACAGGCAAGTAACAGCTAATGAACTGCAGAGAGGTGAACTGCTTCTCATCAATATTAACGTGAATCCACTGCTACTCCAAGGACTGGCTTAATATGTTACCTTCAGAGAGGTGTTTCACATCATTACCGTGGCGTGGCAAGAGCTTTACAGGACCAGCATGCATTAAAACCTCAGTTTACAGTGTTCTGTGTGAATCCTGGCTGAAAGCCTCATGCAGCTTCTTAAACAACCATTGTTCAAAAAGAACTTTAGTAAAGGAAATGTATTAGGGAGAAGGAGAAAAGTAAATCTCAACCCAATTTCATGCCTGTATTTTATAAGACAACTTAAAGTAGCAAAGCTGTCAGCAACAGCAAAGGAGAATAATGATTTTTCAATGCTCTCAGTGCAAGTCTGACTGCTAAAGCTGATGCTATTATTGACAAAATAATGCAGCAAATATTGGTGAAATTATTATTTACCACATTCTCACTTGAAGTGTTCCTTTGCACTTTTTTAGATGTCTGCACAGAACCTGAATATTCAATACTGGACACTTTACAGAGCAGCAGAATTTACACTGTATGAGACAATGCTGAGTACACCTCTACTCATACAAACTAAAGCAGGCTCCAAGTCATTCATTCCCAAATCATCTTTCCAGGAGCGTACCTGCTTCAGCTGCCAGGATGAATAACCCCTTTAAGTCCTGCACAGTAAAGCCAACAAATAAACTAAGATAGATCTGGGCTGAGAACAAAGAATTCTGCCACCGTTCATGGAAAGGTGGAAAACCTCATTGCTGGGGTTAACTTCAGACCCCTTCAGCAACCAAATCCAACTCTTTCCGGTGGTTATGGGAGATGTGAATCAGCAGTTCATGTTCAAAAGTGCTAAGCTGTCTCTTAAAAGTAAAGGTTCCTAGGTATCAAAGGAAACTTCCGTGTTGAATTATAAGCCAGGGAAAACACAAAGTGTGGTTTCAAACACAGGGACAAGCAGCAGGTGCCCAGTTCTAGGAGCCCAGCTGAGGCACCACAGTTGAGTGTCTCCTGACCTAATCAATCCAGGCTTCTCCAAAGGGCAACACCTGCAGCATTACACCTACAAGTGGAGCCATGATTATTTCTCTCCAGTTCAGAAACACCACATTTCATTCACAAGGTCTCAAGGCAGCTACCTCAAATTTGCAATGCAACTGAAACAGCACTCCAATTTAAACAGCTTTGAGATGTGATCAGGCAGCAGGAGACAATTGTGATGCTGATTTCCACCCAGTCCCCAGCATAAATATAGTGATTTCTTATCTATCAGTTAAGAAAGGTGCATGCGGTTTTCAGAAAAAAGGGAGACTTGGATCACAGGTTTACAAAGAACAACACTAAGGACTTCAAGCTCTAGACTTTAAGTCATATTAACAGTAAGATATTCAATTGTTTGAACATCACCGTGATAACGTGTCTATTCCATTTAACTTCTCTCCCAACTGTGACATGATTTATCAGTCTGTGTTAATCCCTTTCTAAAATCTAAAATCAGAGGTTCA